GATGGAAGAGTGGCAAATAGAAAACATCATGCCTCAAGGAACTGGAAAAATAACAACAGAAAAAATTTTAAAATGCCAAGAGAAAAGAAATAATAAAGATTTAAGCAGAGATAAATGAAATAGAAAATAAACAAACTATACAGAAAATAAAAGAAAGCAAAAGATGGTTCTTTGAAAAGATTGACAAGATCAGCACAACATTAGCTGGACTGATTAAGAAGAAGAAAGAAACCAGATAAATCAAATACATAATGAGAAAGGCAATATTACAACAGACACAATAGAAATACTAAACATCATTAGACGATACTATGACTGACTATATGCCAACAAACAAGAGAACATGGAGGAGATGGACAAATTCCTGGATACATATAATCTACCAAGATTGAATCAGGAGGACATACAAAGCCTGAATAAACCCTTAACAAGCCATGAGATTGAATTAGTAATAAATAACCTCCCAACAAAGAAAAGCCCAGATCCTGATGGCTTCACTTCTGAATTCTACAAAACTTTTAAAGAATAGATAATCCCCATTCTATTCAAATTATTTCTAAACATCCAAAAGGAAATAACCTTCCAAATTCATTTAATGAAGCCTTTATCATCCTCATTCCCAAAACAGATAAAGACATGACAAAAAAGGAAAACTACAGACCAATATCATTGATGAATATAGACTCAAAAATTCTCAACAAGATACTTGCAAATCATATCCAACAATATATAAAAATGATTATTATTCATCATGACCAGGTAGGCTTTATTCCAGGGGTGCAAGGGTGGTTCAACATATGCAAGACCATAAATATAATACTATATTAACAGAAAGAAAGATAAAAACCATATGATCATTTCAATCGATGCAGAAAAGCATTTGACAAAATACAACATCCCTTCATGATTAAGACTACTTTATTCAACCACACAGACATCCATCCATAAATCAAGCCTTAAGAAAAACAAATCTAATAATGTGCTATCTTATCTCTAAGCCTTCTTCAATAAAGTTGAAATTATTTTTAAAAATTTTATGATAAAATAAAAATTATTAATATATCATGGGGAAAAAAATGTCTTTGGATCTGGGGTCAATGACCTGGAATCCAGTTCTGGTTCTACCACCTACTGAGTTGTATGATTTAAGTGAGCAGGGGAATCACAAAACTTAAACATTAGTTTCCTCTATAAAAGGCAGTAATATTCCCTGCCTGGCCTAAATACATGTTCTGTAACTGTTCAGTGCCACAGATAGCAATTATTAAAAGACTGCTGAGAATGGAAGCTGAAGAGGGAGGCTTCAGCTACAGAAGAGTATGTGTGTAGATTTTAGGGACCCTGGTGTGGAAATTTTCTTTGATACAGGGTACAGCTTAAAAGGGATGTATCCAGAAAAATATCAGTCACTTTGGCCAAGGCCTTAGTGAGCATGAAAGAAAGAGCCATCTTGTGCTATTTTTAATTTCTAACTCCTACTAAAGAGGACTATATTGCACAGAGATAGTGGGAGAGTGGCAGAGAAAATCATAACACAAAATTTTAAGTACTTACAGGAAGTCTTAGTATATAGGGACCAGATGGTGGCACAGTGGTATAATTCAATATTCTGTGAGGCTGACTTATATGGAAAAGTTCTGGGTTCACATCTGAAGACCTCCCTGAGAATCCTAGGAATGCCAGTGCTAGCTGAGGCTGGGGATAGACCATGGTCAAAACCGTATTAGGGATGAGTGCTCTCTCTCTCTCTCTCTCTTCTCTCTCTCTCTCTCTCTCTCTCTCTCTCTCTGTCTGTCTTATGGAAGAAACGAGTGAAAAACTTTTTTTTAAAGTATTCTTATATAATTCAAGTTGTCTGAAATTATAAAAACAGCTTAAGAATACAACAAAGATATTACACTAAACAGTAAAGAACAAATCCAACTAGGCTTAGATAGGCCTGGGATATCATACAGCAAAAACAGAGTAAGAGATTGACTGTACCCCTAGCTGGTAGCCACTCTACATTTCACTGCCCAGGCCTAAGCACTGAAAGATACCAGACTCTAACCTCCATGTCCATTACTGCACCCACAAGGACCATGGAGCTCAGTTCTTTTGTAGTTTCAAAATACATACTTTTAGCACCAGAGGTAACACATCCAAAATAGGCTTGTGGAGACTAGAAATATTTGGAGTAAAAAAATGTTAAGTTCTTTTTGGGAATTATAAAGTGTTATATACCATGAAAAATTAGAAGACCAATGTTAAATTTATAAACCTATCATCCAAACCCTAATGGTAAACTTCATTTCCCATCCACTTGAATAAAATTGCCTTGCTACAATTAAGATTAATTTTGCATGCAAAAGGTAGCAAAGAACAACACATAATAATTTTTCAAGCCTTGAAATAAAATCCTTAATGATTCAATTTAAAAACTGGCACCTCAGTTGTAAGAGAACAATTTGGAGCCTCTGCTTTTCCACTAGAGATCTTTCGGCATCCTTACTTTTTAGGGTTAATAGTAACTTTTACCCAAGGTTTATTCTCAGCTTACTACAGTTTTAAAAACAGATAAACTCACAGTCCAATAAAATAATGGTTGTGGGATCAGATTGGCACATATTAAATGGTTATTAAAAAGCAAGAAAAGAACCCAATAATCATAAATACTAAAAAAACTAAATTATTTTTAAAGTTTGCCAGCCAGGGGAACAGCAGGTAGCATGATGGTTGAGGTATTAGATTCCCACGTGGCCAACCGTGGTTTGAATCTTGGGCCTGGTGGCTTGCTTTCTCACTTCCCGTCTGTCTCTGGCAAAATTAAATAATAATGATGGTAATGCTGAATAAAATTAAATAAAATAATTGTTTAAAAAACAAATTAGCCAACCAGTATGGGCACTCTTCAGAGTCAGAGAAAGGGAGAAGGAAAAAATACCCCTTGTTGGGTTGTGGTCATTCCTAATCCCTTCTCCTCCATTTCTCCATCATTTTGGGATTCTAGGCATTGATGCATACAGGTCCAGTGTGTGAGTCTAAGATGCAATTGGGAATGTGGGATCTGACTACTAGACCACAGAACTAGCCAAAATTTTGTAAAAATTATCTAATAATATCCATTTCCTTTTTTGCAACTTTAATAATTTGGTATGTTGAGAACTTAATTTCTGTTTTGATTGTCAGAGGGCACTTGTATTCACCAGAAAGAAAGAAAGCATCTTTCACCACCCCAAATACAGCATGGTGATGCCACAACCCGCTTTTCTCCATTATTCTCTTGGATCAAGATTTTGAGCATACATGCTACATGTACATAGCATCTTTTTCAAGCTGTGAGGGTCAGGTTGAACTGCAGTCAGCCCTGTGGTATCTAACTCCCAGTGCATACCATATGGCCACTGAGCTATGGGCCGGACAAAAACTTAATTTGAATGATGGATGGAATACACCCATTATCTTCATAGTTTCAGTATTTACGAGAATGTGTTTAATCAAACCTGACATTTATTATTTCTCTACTTCACTAACTTCTTCATTGATTGCTACTATTCTACTCTATATGGCTAAATAAAAAACTGTCTCCCATTAATCTTAAAACATATAGAAAAAAGGTCTGTATAATAGTTAGCTTTCAGAATTAATTTGAAAGTCTCTTTTGACTTCAATTTTTGTTATTAAAATGTTCTTACATGTGACTACACTAGTATTCCTGTTCTTACTAATACCAAACATTCAAATGCTTTATATAATATATTCACTTGATCATTACACCCCTATAATGTCGAAGCTATTATTTTAAGGCATACAGAGGTTACATAACTTATTCAAGATTATATAGCTAGTGATTTGGAGCCCATTTTTACTTTACTAAATACCTTGTATCAGCCTCAATATTTGGGTGTGATTAGTCCTTCTATCCAAAAAGAGTATAGAGCTATGGATTTCTCTTAACCAGTATTGCTTACACTGTTTCTCCACTTTAAGTAACTCTCAATAATCCAAACTGACCTACAGTGAGAACCTTTAGTCTAAATTCTTACATCTTTTAGCACAGTATGGATAGAATTTATTTAGCTACATTCTGATATTGTTGTTGTTTGTCAAAAAAGTGACCTCCTTACATAAAATGAAGACAGCTGAAAATGTGATCACAGTCACTAAAGCTACTTCCTGAACCCTAAGCAGTAAAGGAAATTAATAAATTACTGAAATTAGTAAATCAGCTATTGTTGCTCATTTAAACACACTAAACCATAGCTCAATGTTAATCACAGTTCTTTTTTTTTTTTTTTTGAGAGGTTTTTGCCATAGGGCATGTGCACTCGCTAGAAAGACAGAGAGACAGAGAGAAAGCGAGAAATCATCCCCCAGGGGGGATGGCCACACTGTAATCCCTTCTCCTCCATTCTCCTCTTGAGATCTTGGGCATGCACACGTGCCTGGTGTGAGTTTAAACCACCGGGTCCAGGACTCAAACCACGGTTGGCTATGTGGGAGTCCAGCGACATAGCCGTTATGCCAACTGCTGGTCCCTTAATTACAGTTCTTATAGATGACACAGAATGTTAAGTTTTACAAGAGGGGTATAAGAATCTGTGGTAGGATAAAAATCAGCTTTACAACATAGAAGGGAAATTTACATGCAGCACATATACAACTGGTGTTTGGAAATTTAAAAGTACTTGACATTTCGAATAACATATTTTCAAAGATGAGAAGAAAATGATTTGGTTGAGCAAAAAGGCCAAGATGTGGATTAATGATGCAGGCTGATATGCATGTACTGACACCTCCGGAAGTTGGGAAAGACACCCTGCTCCTTTCCTGAATTTTTTAACGGGTAGTGAGACTGGCTCTTCTGCTTTAATTTTAAGTGAATCTTATCTACATCATAGGTAGAAAAAAGTGTTAAAAATTAACATGAAACCACATTTCCAATTTAATACTTTGATTTTTATTCATATTTAAATTTCATAAATTTGAATTTTAAAAACTCTCAGAAATCAGTAAATTACCTCGAATGGAGCTCTGTGCTGCCGTTATTATATTTGCTTCCTCTTTCCCAGATACCAAAGTCAGGCACACGGTAAACTCTTTCTACACAAAATACGAGGTTTTGAATAAAAGAGACCTAAAAGAAAACAAAAAAATAAAACACATAAGGACATATGCGATAACAGAATCATTAGACAGTGTAGAGAATAACTGGATGCCATTTGAAATCCAAAAACAATCATCTCTCAGTATCCATAGGGCATTGGTTCCAAGTCACCCACAGATACCAATTATCTGCAAATGTTCAATTCCCTAATATAAAATAGCATAGTATTTATGTATAACCTCAGCATATCCTCCTGTATACTTTAAACTATCTCTCGGTTACTTATACGTGAAGAGGAAAATATACAGATAAAACTTTTTTAGCATCTTACTTTTAAAAAAAGAATTATTATTTTTATTTAACTATATTTTTATTTTTTCTTTCTTTATTTTTAATTTAAACAAAGAGGGACAGAAAGAGAGAGAAAACAAGAGAAAGAGAGAAAACAAGCCACCAGGTCTGGGACTCAAACCACAGATGGCCATGTGGGAATCCAGCGCCACCTGTCAGCACCTCAGCATCTCACTTTCAGGGAGCCACCTCTTCTCTCATTTCATAACAATGGGTGCAGTCTGGCTGTATCCACAGCTGTTTTTATCCAGGAGCACAGAACCTGCCGGTATGGAGTATAATATATACTTGCCTCCCACAATTTTTTTTTTAATATTGAAAGTCTTCTGATCATTCCAATTCTGTAAATACTCTGTTATACTTGTTTTTCTAATATAAAGCTCACTTTAGCTGAGAACTTAATATTATACCATACAGAAATAAAATCTAAATCCTCCCAATGCTCCAGCTACAATTGTTCAATGCTATATCTATTACTGTTTATAAGGACTGTGCATCTTAAGAGCTAAGAAAAATATAAATCATTGTTTTTACATTGGATCATAATATTTGTAGTTTAAAAAAATCCATAAAATGCTAAATAATTCTAAAACTTTAGAGATAAAAAGATGTGTTTCTCTGTTCTATAAAGTGCCGGTCCCATAGTAGATTAACCTAGTGTCCTATGTCTGTATTTCCTCCTGGCATCAAATCTAGCTCCTGCCTTTTCTATAGCTAATGGGGTATGTTCTGATCTAAATTCAAAGCTCACAATTAGAGGAGGGCTCCAAACAACAGACCAGGAGTCACAGCTTCCATGTAAGATTGTACACATTTAGTGACTTCAAATATTTAGTTACCCTAGAAAGTAACTATGAAAAGCAAAGATTATGGTCAGTTCTTACTTGAAAAGAGTTTATTTATTTCAACAAAAGCAACTTCTTAAGTCGGCTATAGGCTCTGATTACAAAGTTTTTAATTTAGTTGTCATGTTAAGTTCAATATGGCAAATAGAACACATGCATCTGCCCACTCTTTGTCAGAAGATCCCTCTGAAATGGCAATACAAACCTTGTACTTCTATCCCATATATATATATATGTAATTAATACAATGTATGTACATACTTATTTATTGCCAGAGAGTACATCCACTCACCAGAAAATGAGAGCGAGAGAAAGCATCCCTTAACAGGGTATGCTCAGGCCTCAATCCCTTCTCCTCAATCTCTCCATCCCTTTCTTCAGGATTTTACAAACACATGCGTGCATATCCAGGGTGCTTTTCCAGTCACTGGGGCCAAGACTCAAACCACAGTTTGCTATGTGTGTTCTGGCTCCCTAACTACTGTGCTATGGGGCCAGCTCCATATGTATTATATATACTTCTAAGAATGAAACAATACCAATACAGAAAGCCAAAGTAAGGTTCCACCAGGAGACCAGAAACTGAGAAATTACAGGAAGACAGATAACAGATGGGAAGGAATTGGTAGAGAAATCAGAACAGAGGAAACTACAGCTTCTCAAGATGAGTCTTTATTGTTCTCCAGGGCCTCCAGAAAATCTATAAACTCTGAGTCAACAAGCATATTGATCAAGGGTTGATCAGGGAGTAGTCTACAGAGGTGACGTCACAAATGACAAATATCTGGGGCACTTGAATCCCTGCTTTTTCCATTCTCCTCCCCAGCAGAGACAGTGCCATCTGGGCAAAGAACAGCTCGCTCATTTCAGTAAAGGAAAGAGCAAGTGGGGAATTGGGGTCTTACAAAAATAGAGCAGAGTGGAGGAGCACATACCCACAGAAAACTTTTTCTGCTTTAAAAATTGTTGTGGGTCTCCTCAGCTCTCCCCTTCCTCTGTTACCTTGCCTATGTACCCTAAGGGTAAACTGCCTGTGTAAAATACCTGGTCATTTTCATGGTATCAGTTCTTTCATGGTCTTAAAAGTTTAGATTTTGGATCCATTAGATGGTGTAATAGTTACGTCGTCGTAATCTCACACAGTCGACCATGACTCAAGTCCTGACCCCAGAGACTTAAAACTTAGGCTGCGCGTGTGTGCCTGTGTAGGTGCCTGAAATCCTAAGAAGACAAAGGAGGAGAAAGGATTGCAGCATGGCCATCTTCCCTGGGG